AGAGCCTGAGGATGGGGTGTACCTGAGGATGGGGACTTGCCCTGTGAGGACTTGGGTCATGCACCTTTTTTCTCCTCCTCTTCTGTCCCTCCCTGTCCCCTTCCTCCAGGTTCTTCTGCCTCCATTTCTCCCATCTTTATTCCCCTTTCTCCTTCTCTCAGCCTCAGATCCCTAGCCGCCTTCCCAGTTTGGAGCCTGAGGTGGGAAACATGGCTCCCCATGGGCTGGCACTGTAGTCTTAGTTTCCCGTGTGAGAGGGGAGAGGGGCAGAGGGGCCCTCCAGAGCCAGAGAGCCAGTGATCCAGGCTGCCTCTCCGCCACTGAGTGGCCAAACGGCCGTGGGCAGCTGCCAGCCTCTCTCTAGGGCTCGGTCACCCTGTCTGTACAACGGGAGTTCTTCCCACTGAGGTTCCTAGACATCAGTGAGAGAGAAGAGGGGAGATCAGAGGTGCCTGGAGCTCCGCTGGGGCCATAGTGGGTGCACCCATGACCCAGATTGCTGCCCCCACCAGGCCCATCCTCCCCTCAGCTCCAGGCTGTGCTCTGCTGGCACTGATAAGAGGCTGGACCCCGATGGCTGCCCTGCTTCTGGAAGCGCACCAAACACCTGGCCAGTCTGCCAAGCAGGGCCAGGCAGATAAGGGGGAGCAGGGCATCTGGAGCCCAGGAGGTGGAGCACAGCTGGAAGAGGCCGGGGGGAGGGGTGACCAGATGATGGGGAGGGCTCCCTGGTGGCATAGCATCACCTTTGTGTAATCGCCCCCACACTGCTCGGAGCTGCGCTGTCTTATCTCATAAGCCCCAAACCACTCCATGCAGTGAGTAATGTCATTAGCCTCGCTTACGGAGGAGACGGCTGAGGTTCAGAGAGGTTTACCTGCTTTGCTTCCCTAGCTGGTAGGTCTCAGAGGCAGGACTAAACCCTGATCTATCTGAATCCAGCTACACCTCTAACCATTGCACTGAGTTGCCTCCAGGAAGAGAAAATCGCTAGGGGCTGGTTTAGTGTTCGTGTCTAAGCGCATGAACTCTGCAGCCAGACTGCCCGGGCTCAAGTCCCAGCCCTGCCACTTACTGTGTGGCCTCGAGTAAGTGACTCAACCTCTCTGTACCTCAGTTTTCTCATCTGTAAAGTGGAGTAATCATGATGACACCTTCCTCATAGACCTGCTGTTGTATTAGGTAAGGTCACATACATGAAGCACTTAGACGAGTGGCCGGCACATAAGGAAGTCTATGTACGTGTTTGCCAGCATTATCACCGCTACTGGGGATCAAGGTCACACTTATTGTCTTCATCCCCTTCTGATTTTCCTTCAGTTCCCTTGGAATTAGCATAAGTGCTTTGAGATCCATGGGTGGTGGGAGACTCCCCTTTTTCCTCCAAACACTCCCTAGGACAGGGACAGTGCCAGGTTTCCCTGGTAGCCTCCCTGGAAGTGTCTCAAATGAGAAGCAGCGTCAGCTGAAAACTTCCCTCCCAGGAGG